TATCGGCCATTTCATCTAAGCACCGAGTATCAAAGAAGGTGGTCTTTTAGTTAGAAAAATAAAAACAAGGTAAGATTGACGGGTAGTTGGGTTGTTCTTGAATATGCCCTCTGGATATTTAAGTTAAGCAAGTGTGTTGAATTGTGAAATGCCACTTCAACAAGAGCAGGACGGCCTGAATCTCTGTCAACGTCATCGGAATTGACGTGGGCTAAGCTTCACGAATTCATTAATCATAAAGTTAAAAAAGTTAAAAGGCGCAGAAAAACATTGTTCTCCGTACCCACCATTAGCACTATAGGTTACTTTGTTTTTTTAAATTTTTATTTTATTTTTTAATTTAATCCTTTATATTTTATTTGGATAATTTAATTTTATATAGTTATCATAATATTACAAAAAATATTATAATATTAGATTTATATTAAAAAAGTATTTCATCATTGTTATATAGTTTATTTTAAAAAAAAAGTATTTAAAAAATAATTTAAAAAACTAAATTATTAAACTACATGGAATCAATGATTTAGATTTTAGTATGATAACCTTCGTTATTTTGACTTGCTAGTTTAGCAGGATATTTTTTTTATATAATTTTTTATTATTAAAAAAATAATTATTTTAAAAAACTAAGTTATTAAATTTTAAAAAATTTATAGGCTTATTGATGAGCTTAACTAGTTTAACTTTTTTTTTCAATTTTTTTTTATTTCATCCTTGTAATATCGAGCTGATTGAGAAATGAGTTTTATAATTTATTTTATTTTACTTAATATGAGGTTATCATAATCTTAAAAAAAAAGTATTAGTATTGGTTTAACATTTAATTTTATAATTGTCTATTTTTATTATTATATAGTTAAATAAATAACAGTTTAAAAAAATTATTAATTCCAATAAAATTCATTATCTAGTTTGTAGGTTTGACGTATTGACCTGAGCTCTTTTATTTAATGGTTTAGTAGGTTTATTTATCAAAACTGAAATTTTTTTTAATCGTTGATCCTTTATTTTTTTTATTTAATATTGAGATGGTTGAAAAATAAAATTTATAGTTTATTTTTTTAATTTCTTTAAGAATATCACAATGGATAATTTTATCTCATAGAAAAACTTAAAACTAAGAAGCAAAAATTACAGAAACCCTAGCAAATCTAGCAAAATCCTCGTCAAAATATACTTCCAGGCACCGTTGGCGCTATTTTCCACCAATGAGGCATATATAATAGTATATGCCTCATTCCCTCGTTGATGCATGACAAACTCATGTGATAATTAAGCTCTGGAGAGGCATTGTTGCTGTCGAGATTAGAGAGCTTAGAGAGTTTAAATTCTCGTCCAAATTAATACAAGATACAATTAAAAACAATAAATGAAAATAATATTCAACAATAAATTAATAAATAAATAAAACATAGAGTTCTCAAAATTAAATTGCTTGAATACGAAGAACTCGCGCTGCCATCGAGGATTAATAATACTTGAAAATGGATTAGTTTTAAATAATTGAAAACACGTGCATGTGTTGGTTAATGTGTGAGCTCGTGAATATATATATATATATATATTAATTAATAATAGGAGTAGTTTGTCTAGGTACGTGTGGTAAAAATCTAAAATTCTATAATTTATCTTGGGCCTTCATCACGTGAAACGGAGAGTAGTTAATGACGTGATTATGTTTATTTAATGGGCTGTTTGGGAACGTAATTAAACTTGTATTTTTAAAAAATTTAAAATTATTTTTTAATTAAAATTTAATATAATTTATATGTTTTAGATTGTTTTGATATATTAGAATTAAAAATAATTTTTAAAAAATAAAAAAATTATTAGCATACATTTTAACACAAAAAATTATTTAAAAAATAACCGCTAGTATACTGATAATACATTCTAAATCATTAAAATAACTTTTATATAGCTCCATTTCGTAATAGTTATAAGGGGTCATTTTAGTCATGGTTGATAAAAATACCTTGAAGCTCCATTAAATCACTAGATGCAGGTGTCTTGACCATGCATTCTACCTAATCCAAACATCAACTCTTACCCTTTAGGATTATGGCCCAAATAAAAATTGATTAAAAATTATTTTTATAAAAAAAAATTAAAATTATTTTAATATACTAATATAAAAAATAAATTTAAAAAATTATTATTTTAATATATTTTTAAATAAAAAATTAAAAAATATAATCACTCCCACACCCTCAAAAACCAACCCCATCACTCCACAACTTTACTCATGAATGTGACGATGAGAAATGGCCAGTACACAAATAAAAAGTAATTACTTCGGTGGTCCAATAAAGGACGGGTCATTGTAAATGTTGGGTCATTGTAAATGTTGTTAGTTTTTTTTAATATGATTATCTAGATTAATTTGTGTGTATTTTAATTAATTTTATAAATTTTAAAATTAATAACTATATAAATTTTTAATAATTTTAAATTTTATAAAATTTAAATTAATAATATTTTAAAAACAAATTAGTTAAATTACATCCTTCCGGATTTTATATAGATATTTTAACAATAATATTGATTGTTTCCCCAAACCATTGTTGCCCCAAACCATGAAGGGACAACAAAGACATGATAGCGATCAGGATGACAATTCTAGCACGAGTAAATATTTGTGGGTAGTGTAATATCAACATCGCCACTCCAGATTCAATAATACATGGACTAAGTTACTATTTGTGATTTGAAATATATATCATTTTTATTATTATTAATATGAATATTTAAATAAGTATTAAAAATAATTTTTAAAAAATAAAAAAAAATTATTAACATACACTTTAATATAAAAAAATATTTAAAAAATAACCGTTACAATACTACTAAATACACTCTAAATCATTAAAATAACTTTTATGTAGCTCCATTTCGTAGTAATTATAAGGGGTCATTTTAGTCATGATTGATAAAAATACCTTGAGCCTCCATTAAATCACTAGATGCAGGTGTTTTGACCATGCATTCTACCTAATCCAAACATCAACTCTTACCCTCTAGGATCATGGCCCAAATAAAAATTGACTAAAAATTATTTTTATAAAAAACTTTTAAAATTATTTTAATATATTAACATAAAAAATAAATTTAAAAAATTATTATTTTAATATATTTTTAAATAAAAATTAAAAAAATAATCATCACCACAGCCTTAAAAACTAACCCCATCACTCCACAACTTTACCCATGATTGTGACGATGAGAAATGGCCAGTACACAAATAAAAAGTAATTACTTCGGTGTCCAATAAAGGATGGGTCATTGTAAACGTTGTTATTTTTTTTTAATATGGATATCTAGATTAATTTGTATGTATTTTAATTAATTTTATAAATTTTAAAATTAATAATTATATAAATTTTTAATAATTTTAAAATTTATAAAATTTAAACTAGTAATATTTTAAAAAAAAATTAGTTAAATTATATCCTTCTGGATTTTATATAGTTATTTTAACAATAATATTGATTGTTTTCCCAAATCATGAAGGGACAACAAGGACATGATAGCGATCAGGATCACAATTCTAGCACAAATAAATATTTGCAGGTAGTGTAATATCAACATCACCACTCCAGATTCAATAATACGTGGACTAAGTTACTCTTTGTGATTTGAAATATATATTGTTTTTATTATTATTAATATGAATATTTAAATAAATTCAAATATATTCAACTAATTTTATAAATTCTAAAATTACTAAATATATAAATTTTTAATAATTCTGAGATTTATAAGATTTAAATTGATAATATTGGGAGAGGAAATCTACCATCAAACTAACTATATATCCTCACATGAGATATATATATATATCACGTGATTGGAGGGTAATGCTTCCCTAATCTATCAATCAAGTCAATTAATTGAATAATAATTAATTAGAGGCATGATGGTGGTGTGCCCACAACCATTGAAAATAACAGTGACGCCAGAATCATTTGAATGTTAGGTCGATGAAAGACAGAGGAGCAGATAACTTGCACCTCACAAGTGAATGTAGAGTTTCTTGTTAAAAATGGGGCATGCTACTGAATTAACTGGGGCTATAATATGAGAAGGGAAAAAATAAAAACTCTATTTAATATCGAAATTAAGCTATAATAGCTCGTTCATTTCCCTTGTGCAGCTTGGTACATGGCCTCGGTGGAGGTTAAAATGAAATATGTTCAAACTCTAATGGAGTGAAAAGAAATACAACTAACGTGTTCCACGTTTGTCTGGGACAAACGAGGAACAAAGGTTTCGATAAAAGGCTATTACTTTTTTAGCACAATCATTTGCAAACTCTAGACAGAACCAAGCCTGTTATGCTCCCCAGATTCTTCCAGCTACCTTCATGGGCACGGTCCCCTCACCAAGTAAGTTACGAGCAAACAAGTATTCTAAGAAAACAAAGTACAAACACAAAGGATACAGCTAAGTGGCTAGTGCGTCAATGTCCTTCATTACCTCGTTCAATCTGGATGCAGAAATAGGTTAGGCAACAAATGTCCTTCATATCCAACATACCGTGAAAAATTGGCAAAAACATATGTACAGAAAGATTTCTAAGACTTGTGGTAGGGTTGCTTAAGTAGTTGGGCAACAAATGAAACCATTTTTTGCCAAGTTAGAGAGTCAACATTCTTACCAGTTATCTCCAAAAGACGTGGAAAACTATTTAACACTGTTTTTATTTTCTGTTTTGTACTCAGAGGAGGGTGACAGAACAATGCAGTGACAAATGCAAATTAAAACCTCGTGCAAATTGTAAGTTTGATTCTCAAAGCATGAATAGTGAAATACTTGTGGAGATAGATAAACCTGGCAAAACTTTAGATTCTATTTTCTGATCACAAGGACATGATCCCAGGAGCAATTGAGGGAAACAACAAGGTGGTGGAAAAGTCGAGTAGAATAATGTAAGGTAAAATTCAGGTTCAGAACATGATGAAGGATATCTCTTTGAAAACAAAAACAAAGCAAATTTTTTATGGAGATTTCTCTATCCCTCGAACATCCGTTCTAGACCCTATGTGAGACCCTTTAATCTCCCAATTCTCCCAACAGCATCTACAACCATCAGACACCCCAAAATTCCTTCACAGATACAGATTATCCAACATTCTCTTTATTAAATTCTTATAAGTAAGAAAGAGAAATAAATATCAGTGCTGTTTCTTCCGTACATAGCATTCCACCACCATGTAAAAATATGCTTCACAGAACCACAGACCTATCTGACATGAAAAATAAAACCATGAATAACCAATTACGTACAAACTGCTGCTTGTAGAAATTGTAACTATTCTTAACATTTGTCACTTTAACCTTGCCCCCTTTCTTAATCATCATCAGAGAAAATTTTAATCCTGTTCTCTGTCGACTATTAATATTTCTCCTACAAAAAGATAAATTCAATATCATGCAATTTTGCAACCTATTTCTTTTTCTTGATCAAACCTTTCAAAATTAGGAACTACTAACTAGTTAAAGCATACCTAAGACACGAATTACCCTTCGTTGCCGCATCAAGCACTGCAAAATACAACGATCATAATTATAAAACAATTCACAATTAATAACAATAATAATCAATTTCTTAAAAATAAAACTCTAATTATCTTTACCAGATTCTTGAAGACGACCACCAGCATCACTAAAACATTGCATGCGATCAACTGATGTTCTAGCAGCCTACAATTTTCATAAAAAATCCTTCACTTCCGTTCTTTTCACGGGCACCAGCCAGAAAGTTACTAGAAGAAGAGTCAAACATCACCTCAGAGAGAGCCAGAAGAAGTGAAGAGAAGAGAGAAGTGAAGCTATAGGCAATTGCTAGAGCGTCTCTCTCGACGATTTCTAGTGCCTTGAAGATCTCGCTCTGGTTCAAATTGAATTTCGGTTAGTGCTATCGGGTTCATCTGAGCACGAGGACGGTGGATCGAGGTCTGGCTGTATGATTACCGTTTCCGTATCAGTTGATTGATCTCTCTGAGTTGCTGCTGCCGCTGCTTCTCCCATTCCCCGCGACAAAAAGACAAATAATAAAATAAAAGCAAAGGGAGATTTGTATTCATGTATTTACGCTCTTAGCTGGGGACTTCAGTGATCTTTGTATTTTATGCTTTTGTTTAAGCAAAGAAAAAACAATTATATGTTTATTTATTATTAAAAAAATTAATAAAAAAATATTTTTTAATTTCACTTGATTTTTTAAAAAATATTTTTTTTTATTTTAAATAAAAAAAACTTTCTAAAAATGATAAAAATTTTAAAATTATCATGTTATTTGAAAATTATATCAAATTTAATTTTCAAACTTTTGATTGGTAGATATTTTATTTTAAATATTTTTTTTAATTTAATTTTTATATTAACTTTAATTCTTATTTTTATGATTATTATTTTCTTTCTCGTATTATATTTCTTAATTAAAATTTTTTATATATCAAATTTATTCCTCATTTTTATTGTTATTTATTTTATTTGAATTGATTTGTAAAATTGTAATTTTTTTTATTTTATCATCTTTCAATTTTTTTTGTTATATTTTATTTCTATTATTTTGATTGTTATTTATTTTATTTAAAATAATTTATGAAATTATATTTTTTTCAATTTTATTCTCATTTAACTTTTTAATTTGTAAGATTTATTTTTTATTATTTTAGTAAACACGAAAAAAATATGAAGAAATTTGTTTTTCAACTCTTTTTTTATGATATAGTCAAATGTTGAAAATTATTTTTTAATTTATTTTACACAATACTACAAAACATCATAAAATAATTCACTTTATAATAATTTATTTTTCAAGAAAACTACTTTAAAAAAAACTACTTTCCGAATCAACTCGAGTTAATTTAATATATCGATATCTCATGATTTGAGTTATCAATTTGGTAAGGTAATCCAAGTTAACCTGGATTGATCCAATGTATTGATATTTCAATAATTAAAAAAAACATGTCATTTAGAATGTCATTATTTTAGAATTTAAAACAAATGTAGTTGTGAATTTTTTTAAAGTTATTTCATATTTTTAACTGCCATTCAAGTTATTTTTAGATTAGTCAATTCAATCAGATTGTCTTTAAATCTATCAAAGTTATATCATGTCAAGTTTCACTTGGTTTCATTTAAGGATTGATTTTATAATTTTTTTTAATGGGGTCATTGTAATCCATAAAAAAAAAAACATTATGACGTTAGGCTGGGATTCAATTTTGTGAAAAAACAATTGATTAGTAAATGGATTTTAAATTTATTTTTTAAACAACCATCATGATTTTAAAAAAATTCAGTATTAAATTGATACTCAATTTTTTTAAAAAATATGATCGTATTATATATGTTAGTTTTCAAGGTCCTTTAATTTTCTTTATTTTTTTCCATTTATTTTTTCTTTGTTTTTATTTATTAATATTGTATTAATTAAAAAATAAAATTTATACTTTATTTTAATTTATTTTTTAAAATATACTGAAAATGCTCGAACATTATATTTTTATATTTAATTTTTTCTAGTCCGATTCATAGCATAACGTTAACCAATTATTTAGTAGTAGATAAATAACACGTGTTCTATTATAGGCTGTATAAAAAGTATTTTTAACATGTTAAAAAAAAATATAGGCATTACTAATATATCGTTGGAAACAAGATTTTTTCCACTATAAACTCACAATCTAATGTATATGCTTGATAAAATAGATCAAGGATCTTTACACTGATAAATATGGAATAGATATTCTAACGGTAATTAAATACCAGATCATTAAAGTAAGAAACATATGTAAATTAAAATGTTCAATCTTGTGCTACGTGCAGCTATTTAATATTTTTATTTAATTAGTGACATCAGTTATTTTTATAGGATGAACATTGATTTAAATTTAATCATAACGAACTAATTTTTCAGTACAAGCTTTTTTTTTAATAAAAATTAAAATCAATTAGATAATACTAAATTTATTGCCCGTGCTCTGTTATAAGCCAAACATGATTTTTTATTACCATTAAAAAAAATGCGAGGGTAAAAGAAATCAAAGTTCGAGCCATTAGTTCAACTGATAAACTAAATAATATAAAAAATATAACAATAATAAATAAATTAAAATAAAACAAAAGGAACTAGACCTAATATCTTTTCAAGCCAAAATTGATTAATTTTTTTTTTTCAAGCCTCAATCTTTTCAAGCATGCAAGGAACGTGGAACTGAAAAAAAATATGATAACAATAAATAAATTTCGGGTGCTAAAAAACTCAAAATTAAATTAAATAAAAAAATTTCAAGCCTTGATTTTTTTCTAGCATGACGAGAGATTTAAACCATTTTCATTGAATGCTCCATCTTGAAAATGATTTATTAGTGCTAAGAATGATATTTTTATTGTAAAAATATGAAGACAAAAAATTTCTCTTTCCTTTTTTATTTTAATGATATTCCTTTTGTTTTATTAATATTCAAAGATTGAACTGTAATAAAAATAAAGTTAGAAACAAAACATAAATATCTAAAACTACAGTAACCAAATATGAGATAAAATAAAATTAAAGGACTAAATTGTATTTTCACGTCTTCAAGAACAATAAAATTTGCATTATGCATGTGTAGTGTCCCGTGTCTATAGAAGCTTGCACAACATTTTTTTTTTTTTTTAAATTAAATTTTGATTTAATTCCCATGAGCTTCGGCAGCACGTGACATCAATTCATCATGTTAGTAATCTAACAAAAAGGCTTCCATCATCAAGCCATCAAGGCAATTTTGTTAGCACTCGTCTTCTACTTTCCAAACAAAAAAACTAGCAAAAACGTCGTCGCTTCACCCATTCAAAATCTCGACAAAAGCAACAAGGCGGGAACGCCCTCTCTAAATTTGATGGGGCCATTGACCCCACCACTCCAAAAATAAACAAAACAAAAACATTTTCAGTTTTTTTTTTTTTAAATCATCCCACAATTGAAAATACGCGTTCCATTTGCCAGCGAAGTCAGACATACATTGCCGTTCTCCTTTCTCGATCTCTCGACACCCGGAAAAGAGAGAGGAAAAAACGGAGTTGATCAATACATTTCTTCCTCGACGTTTTTTTTCCCTTCTCTTTCCCGTTTCTTCGATTTCTCAAAAGCAGCTACTGTAATGCCTGTTCATTTGCAATCCCATGTTCGCTTCTTCCTCTAACAATCTCTTTCCTTTTCTGTTATGTCGATCTGGTGAGGAATTAGCGTAATTCTGGCACTTATGGAAGTGCATTTGTGATTTCTGTTTTCCAAATGAAGAATTTTGCTCTTCTCAGGGTTTTTACGGTTTCTAAAAAAATCATTGAATTCATCAGGCAGCTAATGGCTGAGGTTAATTGGAATAAAACAATTAAGCTAAACAATTGTGTTTAGTTTTTCTTTTCTTTCTATTTCTTGTATTTTTTATCCTGGTAAAGTCCTGGGAAATAAAAGAATCCTAAAGTACGTGTTTTCAGCCTTTTCTGACATTTTTTTTTAACAATTGAAGCTGCTAATAAGTGGAAGTTAATATTTTGACTTTTAATTCGCGCAGTTACATACAGAAGCAAATAGTTCTAGATCATTGAAACATGATTGTTTCGCCAGAAAGGAGCTTGAGCGAAAATGGGAGATATGACAGTTCAAATGGAGCTCATGCTGATGGTGAGGAACACGCAAAAATGTTTTTGCATGCTGCTTTGTTTTTTCTCGTTTATGATTATGTTTTTTATTTGAGAACTTTGATTTGGTTGCAGTTAATATTCAATCAGTGATTGAGTGGTTAAACCGTTCGCTACCTCATTTAAATTTGCCATCGGATGCGTCGGAGGAGAAACTGAGAGCATACTTGATTGATGGCACCGTCTTGTGTAACATTCTGGACAAGCTCTGTCCTGGTTTAGTTGAAATGGTTGGATTACTTTCTTATTGATGTTTCTGTTGCTTGGTTCTGGTACCTTTTCCTTTTTTTTGGTATGGAATTTTTCTAAGAGGAAACTGGATTTGTTGTTTCTACTTTTAGAGAGGCAATTCTGAACCTGGACCAGAAAATATCCGAAAGTTTTTAGCAGCGATGGATGAAATTGCATTGCCTAGGTTTGTACTTGCTGACATAAAGGAGGTATGTGAATTTTTTCAATCAAAGCAATTGTGCTTTGCATTTTAGTCTAATTTTGATTCGGCTACTTATAATTCACGTGATTCGGGGATTCAAACTTAAAAAGAAGGTGGAGCCAACGCGACAATAGGTCTGTACTCCAAGGACAATATGATTGAAATGGTCATGTGTTGACACGCTAGGTCTATTAAAAGGCCATTTCCTGGTCAGCTTTCAGTGAAGTAGGTCCTGGAAGGGACAGTTGTGAGAGTCTCCTAAACCTTGTTCATACATTGGGTACATTGTCATGAAAAATTTAGCTTTTAAACGATCGTGCTTCATCATAAATCTAGCAGGGCGGGCTCTTGTTTTGGTTTTTAACTTAAATATAAAGTTTAATGTATGGAAATGTTTAGTTGATTTCGGGCTTTTTATGAACTTTTCCAATACAACTTGCCTCTGCATTTGGCATTGAAAAACTGGACATTCTGTCACCAGTTTTTATGTCTTTGTCTGTTACAAAAATTTTCTGAAACAGATAATTTGAGATGCTTTGCAGGGATACATGAAACCGGTTCTGCAGTGCCTTGGGACACTTAAAACTCATTTTGAGTTTACTGGTGGGAAAGAGAGCATCCGTGAACATCTAAGAAGAAGATGGAATCTACC